TTATTTGGATCTACAATTTCTCTTATATTTGACCACCACACTAATAGATCCTGATAAAAAGTAGATGAAATATATATCTGGTTTACATCATAATTACACTGAAGTAGAAAACGACCCCCTTCATTATCCAAAAGATAATTAAGGTAAGACTTCCAGAAACCTGACGACTCCTCATCCGTTATGTGCATTAGCCAACTCAACTTCAACACTTTTATCATGGTTTCATAATCTATCCTTTTGAGGCCACCTTGCTTATAGGGTCCACAGGTTGATTTTCGAATAACTTTATCTTTCCCGTTCCATAAAAATGAAAAACTAAATCAATTTGTTAAATTCTTTTATAATCTCAGATGGAGTGCTTATCACTGAGCTAAGGTATATTGGTTTTGCAAGAAGAATTGCTTAGATAATAATAACCTTGCCATGAATTGACAAGCCCCTTGACTTCCATAAATTTATTGCATTTCTGATTTTTTTCAGCCTTTGCTTGAAGTTTTTCTCGACTAGTATCTGTACATCATATGTAATGAAAATTCCTAAAAACTTAGCACAAGTTTTCCATTTGACTCCAAGTGGTTCATTTTCACAGTTTTGGAGGGAGCCGATCCACATTGCATCTGTTTTTGCAACGTTAAGTTTTAGTCTAAAGACCTTCTCAAAACAATCAAGCAATACAAACAAAGCTTGTGCAGAGTCTAAAACTGATAAAACAACAGTTGTGTCATCAGCGAACTGCAGCAGTTTAGTTTCTAAATATCGTCTAGGTTCGGTATAGCAATCACTAGGATTTCAATCGCAGTGACAAAAAGGTAGGGGGAAAGGGGGCCCCCTGCCTAACACAATGCTCTATCTTAAAATAGCGAGAGCAAAGGCCATTGTTTATAATACAACTTTGATAATATTGACCCATCTTAAAACCGAATTGATTCAAATACTTTTCAAGGAAAGTCCATTCCAAACTTTCTAAAGCTTTCTCACAGTCAATAACAAATAAAAATTGCAGGTAATCGGGCCATTGTGATCTCTTGATTTTTCTGATGTAAGGGTTGCACATTCAGGGTAGAGGTGTAGCACTCTACAAAAACTTCTACGGCAATGAGGTTCATAAAAAGGGTGTCAGTTGCCAAAGCTACTGTGATAAACAAATGGCAGGATTTTTTAATTTTTCTATTTTTTTTTAACGGAGACTACTGAGCAGCAATTTTTTAATGGAGAATAGTGAGCAGCACAAATGAGAAATTGTTGTTGCTTTACCTTGCGTGAGTTGAAATGATATACATTACCAACAAAGTAAAACTGTCTTATCACACAGTGTGATGTACTTAGCTTTACCTTGTGTGAGTTGAATGGATATACATTACCAACAAACTGTCTTATAACACAGTGTGATGTAGTAAGCTAATTACCAACAAACTGTCTTATAACACAGTGTGTTGTAGTAAGCATTACCTTGAATCAGTTGAAATGATACACATTAATTAACAGCAAACTGTCTTATAACACAGTGTGTTGCATGAAGCCTCACCTTGTTTGGGTCGCAGGCTAACATAGTGAACTTCATGAACATGGCCCAGCACAAGTGGGTTGGTGCTGATCACGTGATCATCAGGCCTGATAGTAAGGTCACGGTGATTTGACTGACTGCTAATCACGTGAATGCATGTTTTATAGCAATTTGCAGTCGCGTAAAGAATCATGTGATCACCCCATGTGCCATCTTGCTCCATGTTTGTAAGATAATCAGCCCATGATTGATATCCATCAATGAAGTTAAACAGATCTGTTCCATCTAGCTGTAACAAGGGTGAGTAAAAAGACTAACTTTTAACAAGGTCAGTACACATGGAATTAAAACAAGTGTGATGGCAGAAATGTCCCTCTCTTAGTTACATGTATAATGGAGAACTAAATGTTGAAACCACTTTTTACACAGCAATTTGAAGATTGAACTAATTTCTGTATGTGTCGATGCCCAATTTTCTGCTGTCTTATTCGACTGCAAGTCCAATTCAGATGCTGACTCAAATGCTGGAATCTAATCATGTGGAACACATTTTCCCAATTAAGCCACATGCTAAGCATATTTCATCAATACCTATACAATAATATTGTATAGGTATTGATATATTCTATTATATTTTTGTTCTGGAAGATATTAGCTTATTTTAGCTACTTAAAAATTTGAGAGGAAATAAAGTATAATATGTATGTATGTATGTATGTAGGTATGGGTGTATGTATGTAAGTTACAATTTTCTTAACCAGAACAACAAAATCAAATACTTAACTTACCAGTCTTGGGTTATTTAAGAGGTACTGCACTATGGATTGTCTTAATTCTCCATGCAAGATATTGATTCCTTTCACAAGGTTCAGTTGTTCAGACAGTGCATGAAACATGCAGTTCCCTGACCCTTCATTGTCAGAAATCACAAAGCCTTTGTCTGATGCAATCTTCTCCAACTCTGCTGATGGGTCAGTATTACTGTTAATCTTGCTTACATCGCATTGCATTTGCTGAAGATTCATGAACATTTGCCCAAGCAGATCTAAAAAGAAAAATATATAAATTAAGGTTATTGCATGTAGGGCTTACTCACTCAAACCTTTGCCAGGGAGGGAAGGTGGCATCTGTAACTTTAAATCCTACTTGAGACCAAAATACCTCATTCTTAAAACTCTTAGTTTCCATTAACTGAGTTGTAAAATGGCAGTGTGTAGTCTCACATGCACAGCCCCATGGAAAGAGATTTATATGTAAAATACAGTCATGGAAATTCTATATGAAAGAACTATAGCCGTATAGCCGTAGGGCGGTAGAGCCGTAGAGTTTATTGTCTAGATACAGCATATGTTTGATCGTAAAGCTGTAGTATGGTGGCCCATCATTATCACATGTCTTTTTAGCCTCAAAACAGAGATCAGCTTCATTTTCTAATGAAATAATCAACTCTATTTGTGTTTTCATTTTATTTTATTTTTGATTCTCCTTACAATTTCTATTTTGAATTGTCTCAGATTGATTTCAAAAGGTTTTTCAATTTTAAATCAAATATGATTCTAACTTTAAATTTTAAAAATGCCTATTGGGAATGGACCAGCGCTATCACCATTACAAAAAAAAAATTGAATGACCCAGCGTTATCACTCCGGTAAGGCCTGGGAGCGAGTCTTAAAAATGACGAAGGTGCCAAGTCCCATCCGTGTCAGTACAAGTCATGAAACTCAGCTGGAAACTCAGCATCAAATCATGAATACCAACGATGATTGGAAGGGAGATACTCAACTGGAACAAGATCTTGGAGAGTTTGTTGCCCAAAACTTGAAGCAAACAGAGATCCTTGATTTCGTGCCACAAAAGTTTCCACAATACCACTGGAGTATAGCAACTCTAGACAGACGCCTTTGCTATTTTGGCACCCACTATATAAATTATAATACCCCTCTTGCAGAAGTGTGTGATGCGGTCAAGAAAGAATTAGACAGACCAGGAAGGCTATTAGGCTATAGAGCCACGAATCACAAGTTCAGAACAGAGCACAAAGTACAGGTTCCTCGGCATCTAGTTCATAATGTAATGGCTGAATTGGATCCCAAAGGATTGGAAACCAGAAACCTCCAGAAAAAGAAGAAACCGAAAGGTAACTTTACGTCTGAAGGCCCACTATGGGTATTCTCGTTAGATGGACACAACAAACTATGCAGATTCCAGAACTCTACATTTCCTCTCGGTGTCTATGGATGCATAGACATGCTTTCACGCAAAGTGCTGTTATTGTATGTGTGCTATTCCAACTCGAATCCCTTACTCATCGGCAGGATGTATCTCAAATACTTGTTTGACACAGAGATACTTCCGGTAAATCTACGAATGGACAGAGGAACTGAGACCGGTAAAATGGCTACAATTCATGTTTACCTTTTGAACCAGCACAGACTCATGGAAGATCCTGCCGACTCAATTATTCATGGCCCCTCAACAAGCAACAAGATTGAGCGATGGTGGCGTGACCTTCACGAGAGATTTGAAGCCTTCTTTAAAGAACAGTTAACAGTTCTTTTGAGAAGAAGAGAATACGATCCTCTTAATTCAACCGATAGACAACTTCTTGCCTATGTTTTTATACCAATTGTCCAAAGAGAGTGTGATATCTGTGTCAAGTACTGGAATTCGCACAGAATCCATGGACAAGATAAAGTGGAGATCTCAACAGGTGTTCCAGAACACGTTTTCCTTCCCTGAGCAAAACGGAGGAAAGAATATGGGGATAATATTGAGCAAAGATCAGTTTACAGAGGTTGCCGAAGTGTCAGGCGTTATGCTGATGGGGAAGCGTTTGATTTCATGGACCCAAGAGTTAAACTTAAGTGTGCACAACTACTTTCAATTCCTGAAAAAGTTGAGTCACGTAATGCAATTACAGCTTTTAGATTTCTCAAGAGAAACTTTGTTAGTTACTTTATCACAAATATTTACACTAATATTAATAATGGGGGTGTTTGCATGAGAAAACTCGCCCCAGAGCCAGTTTCACTCTGGGATGAAAACTTGGTTTCATATCTTGTTTACATTATGACTTTCGTAATTTCCTGATTATGTAAAGCGGCGCCATTATGGCATTTTGAAATTTTCCGTAATTAAATTAAAATTAGACAAGCTCTCTGAATCACTAACTTTACTTTCTTCAGTACTGTAAATATTATTTTTAATATATTCAACAATAAGCTTCGAAACTGAAACAACAACCACAGTAACATATTTGGTTCCTAATAAACCAATGCGATGAGCAACTGTAACAATTTTTTTAGAATATGAAATTTTGTCGTGACACATTCACCGATCGGATAAAACAAACAACTTATCTCGTCTGGCATCGAGATAGGTGCAGTCACCGAAAATTTTACATTATTTTACAACTCAATTTATTTGTGAAATATTAAAATGAAACTACGTTAACACAAGTGCCGGTTGTGGGGAAGAAATTTAATCAAGCCTGCTTGCGCAGTTCGTCTTCAAAGTATCATTTACCGTAAAAAAAAGGCCTAATTTTAGATAAACATTAATCGTTAAGTCCCATCAGTTCGCAGTATTTGTTGCATTTGTGCTCTTTGAAGAAAGTATCAATGCTTATGCGAGAAAGGTTCCTGGCACAAAAATACGATTTGTCTGTATCTGATGTAAATTTGGAGGCAGCAATTTCAGGATCGTACAGTTTGAACATTGAACCTTGAAGATCAACCAACATCAGCAGGCCTCGAAAAGTATTTGAATTTCACCTTGCCTGTTGGGCAAGTAACTCTCAAATTTTGCTTGCC